AGGCTCAAAAGGCGTACCTATTGCAAAGCATTGGGCCTGTGCGTGAAAACGATCCAGGCTGGTACTTCTGTGGATGCCCTACGGACCCACGCAACGAACGATACGTCTATGATTACAAATTCATCATGCAAGCGCCAGCTTCCGATCCGCGGAAAGAGCTGATACATGCATTTATTCATTACGCATACGATGTTAGTCTTGGTAAAACCTTGATCTGCCAAATCGACTGTGACATTGAAGGTACTATCTCCAATGTAATTTGCTGTAATAAAAGGTGAATAAACAATCTACCGATCTCTTTGATTACATTTATCTGATGGATTGTATATCAATTCCTTTTTACCTTTCCCACTGACAGTGATAAGAAAGGTAACTCCACGACTGAGATGGCGTTTTTCCACTTTGGTTGGGACCACGAGTGTAACAGCATATGTGACCTCCTCAAAGCCTCAGATGTATCAGTTCTGCGAGATGAATGAGTCCTTTCCACCACTTCATTTGTGTTTAAAGTTGGTTGTAACATCATGTTCATTTTCCTTTTTGTTATAATAAATTATATATAATAGGTTGCAGATAATTTTAACCTATGTTTATGCCAGTATTCGTCTTTAATTATCAGCGCTGGTCATCATACTTATAATTTCACATTCACAAAACTAAGTAATATGACATTATGGCGAGATTAAGGACATTACTAAAAATTGTTGCTTCATACAAATATTTGCAAATTTATACATTTATAATCAATATAAGGAGTAAAAAATAAGATAAAAATATTCACAAATGGAAACAAATAGGAACTATATACAGAAGAAGAATAAATATATTCATGATTTTTCAGCTAGAGTAGAAAAGAGGTACAAATAAGTCTCTTTCAAGAAAGAGATGATCAATTTTTGATCATCTTTTTCACTTTGGCCTTGGCCTCCTGAGCAGCTTCCCGTTCAGCAAATCGACGATCACCATATTTCCATAGATTGTAAAATCTATCCTTACCTTGTTTTACAGTAACTCCAACGTTATTTGCAACATATTCATCTAACGTACGTCTGTCAATGCTATCCAGCCATCGGCGGTATCTCGTAGCAGTTGAGTAAGAGAAGTGGTCTTTGTGAGTTTGTCCAAACACCCTCTTCCACCCAGCGGTTATGGTCCGCTTGTTGGCCTCGTCTAGAAATTTGACCATGACGATCATGCTAACACCAGACGGCCAAATTCCATCATCAAAGTCGGAGCTTTCAGGAATGGACCTCAGACGTTTGGCAATTCGCTTTGCTGGTTCTGGTTGGGGTTGATCAGTGGCATCATCAGCAGGAGTCGGAGTAGGATTTCTAGAGATGATTTTTTGTTTGGTGTGACCATGGTCCTTGTCCAATTCTTCTTCCTCATCAGACGTGAACAATTCTATAGCGTTGGGTTTTGTAGATTGCCTCATCCGCGCAGTTTCAACGGTCTTAGAGGAGGTTCCAACATTGCGGAGGTCGGGTGGTGTTTTAAAAGATTGATCTTCAAGCCACGGTAGCAATTTTTTAGTATCCATTAACTCAGTAAGTGAAGGTTTGACTATAGATTTTATATGTGTTTCCACATCTCGACATTCGGAAGGGTCAATACCGGCGAATACCATAAATAATTTGCGTGTATCAACAGGATACCGCTCTCTATAGGTCATCATGATGTTAGCCTGATTATAAACCACCCGTAAACACTAGTCAGTAATTTAACACACTTGGAAATGTACATTGTGGAAGGCAGTGAGAAGATGTTTGGTCTTACCCAATCATTTTCGTCCTCATTCCATACTTTGAATAATCCTTTCCAGCTTTCACCAAGTAGCTCCTTCACCAAGGCTCGAACCTCTTCCAACTCATCAAATGCAAAGTCTGGCCATGCTGTCACATTGGTTCAGATCATGAGAGGCTTGTCCTATGGATATAGTAAACCAGTAAGTAATTAGTCCTCTTTCTGAGATGACATGTAATATTGTGATTTCAATATTAACTTACTGTGGCAGTAATCCACAAATATATGGTTATATTACCATTGGCGTGTAAGTCTTGCTGAAGTTGAGCTCGGTCCTTGGCTTCCTTATCTAAGGCAAGGTCAATGAACTTTTGGTTTTCGATCACGCCACAGACACGCCGACTGATGTCTCTTTGACCTGGAGCAGGCAGAGGTGCGTCTCGACGTTCTTCCTGGCCAATCGTTGCAGCAGTTCCGTTGATGTTAAGATGGGTGTCATTAGCCTTGTGTTTCTTGCGCGCGGCGCTGTGTGCAGCGCATGAGTGTGGGTTGAGCGTATCACAGCACTAATTACACAAAAATTAGTTGGTCAGTTGCCTTATCGTCAAATGGTCTGAGATACAAAACTCACCGCTGAACACGCCCCAACTTTGCAGCTGTTATTCTTGCGTCAATTATGTGATGGCGCAAATTTTCCTTCTACGCCTTTGCAAGGAGATTTAGATTTGGAATCTTTATTTGGTTTTTGAGTAGCGGGAGGCGTAGGAGGGGCTGGTGGGACGCCGTCCAACATCTGATTGAGTTGCATTGCCATTTGATGGTCGGCCTGGATTTGTAGTTGAATGGCGGATTGCTGAGTATTTCCAGTGAGAGCTCCGTTGATTTGTGATATCTTAGAACGGTATAGCTGCTTGGGAAACGAACGGTAGTATCCCTTGTCAAATTTACACTAATATAAATAAAATAGGGTGTGAGCAACTTTCAAATGTTCTTGCGAAATAATTCACATTAGCAGCTCACGGTTATACCTATCAAAGGATTTTGTGGTGTTTGTCGACTTGGAGTCCAATAGATAGTAGAATGATCCGGTAGATGTTGGCAATTTTCTGAAGTGCAGATCGTTCCGGTTGGATGTGGTGCTTTGATTAGAAGAGGTAACGGGTGAAGTGGAAACAGAGGTCTGAGGTATTTGCTATTGATGTAAGTTGTGTTTGTTTTTTTGGGCATTGGTATGTCAATATTATCAGGTGGGTATCAAAAGATTCGTTATGTGGTGTCAGTGTATTTGTACAAGGATCCAATCATGTCTGGTCCATGCCGGGCTTGCACATTGGTTTTGGTGATCTCTGATTATGGATTGTGATCGGCGTGATTGGAATGTGATCGATGATTGACTTTGGTGATGCGAGACTTTTGATAAGCAGCAGTCCGAATCATGACGGAAAAGGAAGGTGATGTTGATCTTGTTGGATGTTATGTGATACTTTATGGCCTGCAATGTCTGCATGTGGCAGTCATGGGTTTACCCATCCCAATGTAGTAATTGAAATCTTGCTGTAATGGGATGTACCGACTGCGACGGGGTCCGGTATAATGTATTGCTCGCCCATGCTTGCGCTCGCTCATGCTCGCCAAGTCCACTGTCCTTCGGTTACTCTCCCTTGTTTTTTCCCTTCAAACTCAATTTATTTTTGATCATACTCAAGACGCTTTGTGGGGTAAAAGGTTTGTTTGAATCTCATGGATGATGCCGTGAAGCAAGCAATATATTTTAATGCTTGATTTTAATGCTAATATTTAAGTTTCTTTACAAAGTGCTATGCATTCTTTCAAAAGAGTGCTCCATTTGATGTAAGGTGTGATTTGGGCTCACTCCAACCTGGGTCCTTGCTTGCACCCTTGTTTGGTTTGCTCACCAGAACAGGTTCAAGATGCGTGTTGGAGATAGCTGGAGATAGACATTGGAGTTTGAATGAATTTGGTCAAGATTATGTAATCCGATGGACTCGAGAATAGATATGTCTTGAGAATGGGCTGGCAGCTGGGCAGCTTGATATCTTTTGTATTTGACGGATTGAAAAGTTACAAGAAGGACAGACGCCAAGGTTTCGCCTTTGTTGATGTTCTTAAACTGACGTCACATGACAATTGAGGCTGTGTGATGAGGGTGAGTTTAGTTCCCCTTTGAAAGATTCAAGAATACAACAACGTTTCGATCACACTGATCATGGTAAGCACTTCAATCCAACTTCTTTCGTATTTGTTTTTGCTTATGATTCTTTTGATGAACTCAAGTCAGCATTAACGCAGCAGATTCCCAAATAGATGGCTGACTCAAGATCCGAATTGATTTGAATGAATTGAATTGAAGTCTTCAGTCTAAAATCGAATCAACCAAATTGATGAAAAAAGAAGATTGTTAACGAACATTTGTAAGACGATTGACGACTGACTTCAAAATAAAGAACCGTACAATTGATTTGGTGGTGTAGGTTTGGAAGGACTGATTTCCATCTGATTCCTATACCTGCCTTCTTGTTCAAGATCAAAACTGGTTTAACAGACTCTTTCTTTGTTAGACTTGATAGCTTTCTTCAATCTGTTTACAATTTACCTAACTCTCAATCCTAAACGATCACTCTAATTTATTTGGTAGCATCAGCCTTGTTGAGCTTTGAACTGGTTGGTTTTTCTTTTATTAGATTATTATCCTCATCACCGTTCTGGTGATTTCCATCCTGGTTCTCTCCCTAGATCTCTTGGTTCGAATTCAATCATTAACTCTATCACTTTCATTTTATCAGCCAGATTACACATCATCATCGCCCTCGAACTCCAACCGCTCTTAACGACCTTTCATTTTGATTTGACTACTTGGTTTCTTCGAGGTTTCCTTTACTTTGGATACCTTTTCTCATCTGGTAACCCATACATACCATCATACCTATCTCTGGCTACTTTTCATCCCGCCCAAGCACTTCCTTGGCCATCACGTCCATTTAATCGCTTCAATCGCATCAACCTTACGCCAAACACACGTGTGCATCGACTGTTTACTAATCGGTTCACCCCTTGCCATACGCAATTGAACTTGCTCATTTACAACCTAATCTTTTACCCCCCCTTCTTTCTATAGAGCGCTTTCGCTTGTGAAACGATACCTCTCACCAAATCCACAACATCCAGCACTGCCTCACACCTTCCTCCAACTCTTATTTCCCTTCTGAGATTGGGAATCAGCTAGCTCGCTTGTCCTCATGTTGTCAACTTTCTTCAAATCCTCAAAAACTGTCCCTCGGTGGACTAGTTCAATTCCCATTCTACTTTCCCTCGTCTTACAAGTTACATCTCGGAGTGATGTCATTGGTAAGCTCCAGTTCCTTTTCACTTTTCACTCATCATCAACCGTTGACTTTTGCTATTTTCAATAGAAACGAGCTCAGTGTCATATTGCTCGACTCCTCAAGCTATCATCGTCGATACCTTTGATGTACGATACTACAAATCTAACAACTCGCTAGGATTTGACTTGTCAGCAGCTTCAGTGTCGACAGGACTAAATCTCGAAGCACAACTCTCACTAAATGTCTATGGTCTCAACTCCCTCAATCTCTCAATCGATCTCTGCTCAGTGCTCTCCGGTGTATTGTGTCCATTACCAACGTATAACTTTACTGGATCGGGTGGTTATACTATTCCTGCTGCAAATGTCCCCTCGATCACTGGATTGGCCTGGGTCGTACCTGATATCGAAGCCGTCATCACGGTCGTTTTGACAGATACCAACACAAATGAAGCTGCTGCCTGTTTACAAGTTACTCTCACTAATGGGCTCACCGTCGGTCTTTCATCGGTCTCTTGGCCTACAGCTGCGGTTCTTATTCTCAGCTTCGCACTCGCCACCGTTCATCCTTTCCAATTCGGGATTCTCTTTCTTTTACTCAGTAATCATTTGCAACACATGGCCATGTCCGGCATGATGAGCCTTAATTATCCCACTGGTTCGTTTTTTTACATTTTCAAAATTCATACACATACTTTGATTGACACTTCTTTTCTCTTCCAACAGTGTTTCGTACATGGACTACCAACTTTGCATATGCCGTTGGCCTAATTCGATCTGATGCCATTTCGCGAGCAGTTGACAGACTAAGAAGAGCTACCGGTGGAAATGGATTCTCAACCGCTCAAGATCTCGTTGCTTTCACATCTCGGCACTTCTCACCTTACAATCAAGCGTCGGGTCCCATGAATTCAGAACAGGCGAGCCCTAACCTTGCATCTCGAACTGCTATCAGTACCCTCTTGGCTACCACCAAAGTTCTCATGGCCAACAGCGTAGAGAGAAAACCATTGGGCGAACTGATTGCAACGACTCCCAGAAATGATTATGTCGTTCCAGTCGTCACTACCAACACGACGTTACTAGACCCAGGGCTATCAGCCTATGTCAATGAATTAGGATTTCCAGTCGAAAATGCTTTCACAGTGGTCTTTATGTGGACTATCATCTTGATCGCACTTGGACTCGCTATCACCGCCATTCTGGTTGCCTTTCTCCGCATTCGGCAAAGAAATTGGCGTACACCTATGCAGACTGTATCACGACACATCTCACCCGTCGGATTAAAAGCTTTGCTGTTTGTTTGGCCTCCGATCACGCTCTTTACTTGTTGGCAATGGAGGTTAGGAAGAACAGATGCTTGGTTGCCTATCTTTTTAAGTGTCATACTATGGCTTGCTTGCACTCTTGCCTTGGGTTGGGTTTCTTGGACTAGATTCAAGATTGGTAACAATTCAGATTTTGATAAGTTTGAGTCGCGTGAAAGTATTGGTATCTTTAAAGAAAATAGGTGGTGGGCTTTTTTTCCTTGGGGAATTCTTTGTTTTGTGAAAGTGACTGTAATCGGTTTTGGTCAGGTTAGTTCTATCACTCTGCGATGATGATCTGTTTTTCGAATCTTACACATTTTCTCATCCGTTCACTCTGTCATCTTTCTTAGGGTTGGGGTGAAAGACAAGTTATAGCAACAATTGTTCTAGAGGCGCTACTTTTGATTTTCCTGATAGCTACCAGACCTTTTCAACAAAGACGATTCAACGTGCTCGCGATCATCCTTGGTGTACTCCAGCTTATCGAAGACTGCGTTTTGGTCACATTCGTACCGAGACAAGACGTTCAACCTATACCTCGAGCTGTCCTAGGCTTTGTACTCATCGGAGTTCAGAGTATTGGTTTCATCATCATATTCGGGTTCACTGCTGTGATCTTGGTACTACGTGCGAAATTGTATGTCCTCTACCTTAGATCCCCTCCCTTCATTCCATGTGATCCTGATTATCTCATCTTCGTACCACTTTTTTCTCCCTCAATAGCGTGTTCAAACAACAAATACTACGTTCGAACGATCCAATCGTTGTCGATGGAGAAAAGGAACCGTTTTCACCTGAACCTAAAACCCATGAAATCCTTCATGTCGAAGCTGAACATCAACCGATCATGCACAACAGACAGCATAGTGAACCGGATACAAGTACACTACATGATATTCCGATTTCACCACAAAGATCTTGATCTTCATTCAAGACGTCGTCAAAAGGAATCATTCTCGAAAAAAACCAAACAAGTCATTCAAAACTTCAAAACTTAGATTTCTAATTCGATTCATTTCTTACACCATCAGAACTTCTTTTTCAATATAATCTCAAAACTAAGTTGGATGGACGTTTATCTATTATTTTTTTCATTAATATGAGTTGGTTTGTGAATGTGATGATTAATTATTACAGAAGAAGAAGGTATATTTTTTTTTAGAAGAATTTTTATTTTTTTTTCGCTCTCAAAGGAAATTCATTATTAATGGAAATAGCAAAACAGGTAGATTATAATCCATCATGAAGATCTCATGAACTTGTATAACGAATATGATTTTTTTTATCACATCTGATCTTATTTAAACTGATGTGATTTTTTTCTTTTTTCCAATTGAATCGAAAAAAACCCAAACCCAAACTCCAAAAACTCATTAGTATTAATTCTTTTTTCTTTATATTTGTTGATGTATTATTATTATGAACTTTTTTTTATCATTATTGGTTCTGCATGCATTTTAAAAATCTTTTTGGACATTTTTTGCAACTTTTTTATATATATTTGAAAGTTTCATTTTTTTGAAAGTTGATTCTTTTTGAAAGTTGATTTTTTTTGGACTGGTGTGGGAGTCGGATACCAACTTGATTTGAGAGATGAAGTTGTGAGTATTGATATTTGAAGAGAGATGGAGGCAAGGAATTCCAGTTTCAGCTTATCGGCCGGTTTGTTTTGACAATTGACAATTGTCTTTTCTTATGTAATACCTTTGTTAAGATATCATATTGTGAAAATAATAATATGTAGCATAAAGGACTTGATAAGAATTTCGAGTTCAAGAGAATGATCAAACACAAGTAATGGTTCTGACTTTGGGTATGATTCTAAAGAAGCTCGAGAAAGGTTGTACCTATGAAGATTTGTAGGGTATATTTAAACATAAGCCGAAAGATGTGGAAGCTGATTGGAGTTTGTTGTTTGAGATAAGCTTTTAAAGCTTCAGACATCAATACTGGAAGAATGTTTTTGGCAGAACTTATGTAGGAAGATAGTCATGGGCATTGGGCCCTTTGTGTAGCTTATGTTCATTTTGATCATGAGGTGTGGTGGTATTGTACAAAATGACCCATCGTTACAATACTGCAGTGTGCGGATGGTAAGACGAGACACAAGTTCAGCATGGATTCCTAGCTTCTTCACCATTGGCACAACTAGGAAAAAGACTACTAATGAGATATCAGGGATCTCGTATAATGGTATACCAAAACTACCTTTGGGATCAATTCCAGGTCTCGTAATGACCATCAACTTGATCATTGTCTTTCTTTAGGCAAGACCGGAAAACTTATTAATTGGGCAAGGTTTTAGTGAGGGTTTCTTTATTCACTTTTTCAATGAATTGGATTTTTTTAGTTGTGTTTATGTTGGTTGAAGTGTTACGTAGAAATGTGAAAGATGAGTTGGAATTGATTTATTCAAGAAACAATGGTCTACTGCAGGTTGGCTTTGGTTTTTTTATATAGCCATCATGATCTTCAGTAGTGGTACAATATTTAGGGTATCAAAGAAAAGACAAATAAAGGTTGAAGTAGCTAACTTGTAAATAATCAAAGACACCAGAAAGTATACTTCAAAGGTTTTTATAGTCTGAAGTTGTGGCTAGCTTGAAGCTTTAAACCTCACCTGGATATGGATATTCTTGAAGAGGGGTTCAAGGCTGTTGACACTTTCTATGAAAAATCACCAAAAGATTGCTTCCTCAAGTGCTTACATTCTCTATCTTCACCATGTTCTGCTCTTCGTCTTTCTGAATGTAACACTGAAGCACTGGTGTAAATTCATAAATCTGGTATTATAATTTCAAAAAAAATACCATCAAGTTTCCTTAAAGACTGCTTGCTCCTACGAGGGTCTGCCTGGGTCAACCTGGTATATATGTGGCTCAATAGGTTGCAGTTCCCAGGTTGGTGTTGGGCCTGATCCTGGACCGGGGCTAGACCTGAAGGAAGGCGCAAGATCAGGTGATAGTTTTGTTAGGTACTGTTAGGTTGTATCCAAGATACAGACTGTTACACTTGATCAGAATATGAGATGCTGCGATGAAGATGAAGTTTGAAGGATGGCTGTGATGAGTGATGAAGTGGCACTGCAGTGTGTTGTAGTAGTACTAAATCCGAAACCATCCGAGACGAGAGAAGTGATTTGAACCTGAGCCAAGAGTAAGACAGCCTTAAACTAAAACTAAAACTAAAACTATGTATACACTTAACGTTCTTGACCGAGTCTCTCTCGTGACGTCTCAACTTGGTCATCGAATTTAAACTCAGCATCTTCTTAGAAACCATTTCCACGATTCTCAACTCATTCCATCAACTCTCTCAAACATCGAATACGAACACATATCACCATCTCAATCATCATGTTTAACTCATCATCTCAGCATTCATCATCATCATCAATTTACCAGAACAATCGAACAACAATCACTCTAACATTCATCTTCACTATCATCTCTACCCTCAGCAAATCTCTTACAACAGCTTCAACTCTGACCACTCAATCATCTACTTCATCATTAATCCATCCACCTTCAACTCTCTGTTCTCAACCTAAAGGTTTAATCGAAGATGCAAATTGTGCTTTTGAAACTATAGATGAAGTTAATAGAAGATTACATTCTCAACTTAATCAAGCTGTTCAATTACCAATCTTTCGATATCATAAAGTAATTCACTTCTATTTCAATATCCGAATTCAATATCAATCTGATTTCGTTTTCTGTTCTTTAGGTTGATCTTTATAGACAATGTCCATTTTGGTCAGAAGATGGAGCTTGTGGTAATATAGCATGTGCAGTAGACGAATTAGATCAAGTAATCTCATTCTCTCATCACCCACTTCCCCTCAAAAACCTCGATTCAATCCAAACTGAAACTAAACTTGTTGGATTTGCATTTTTTCTTTTGAATTTTAATAGAAAGATATACCAAAGTATTGGAGATCCAAAGAATTAAGTGGATTAAAGACGACCGAATCGAACGACTTACCACCTAATCTAGAACAAAAACCATGTAATACCCAATCCAACGACCAAAACTTTTGTGTATTAGATGATAATCAAATCGAACCTTCATCTCGTTTGAGTCAACCCATCAAATTTTCCTAAACCCCCAATTTCACAAACCATTTAAAACTAATCATTCGTTTTCCTTTTGATTTTTTTTAGAAAGCGTTTATGTTGATTTGTTATCTAATCCAGAAAGGTTTACAGGTTATGCAGGCAAATCAGCATCAAGAATTTGGCAATCGATTTATGAAGAAAATTGTTTTGATTTGATACCTAAATCGAAGCCTTCAACTAGTCATGAATTCAATAGTTTCTCGAATCCAGGTATCAAGGATTCTTCACTAACTAGTCCTAAATCGATTCCTGCGAATGTGAATGGTAGACTTACGTTTGAAAGGTATGGTGATCAAACTTGTTTAGAGAAACGAGTTTATTATAAGTTACTTTCGGGTAAGTCAAGCCGTCTATTTAATCCCGAACAAACAGATCAATCATGATTAATAATTGGTTTTACGTTTTTTTTGATGACTTTTGGAATAGGTTTACATGCTTCTATTTCGATACATATTTGTGATGAATACTTGGATCCATTATCAGGAAAATGGATTCCAAACCTACAATGTTATTTACAAAGGGTAGGATCACATCCCGAAAGGATCGAAAACCTATACTTCACCTACACCTTAATGTTAAGAGCCTTATCGAAATCATCAGAATACTTGAGATCAGAAAGAGTCGAGTTATGTACAGATGATGAAGAATCAGATGCAAGAACGAAACGAGTCTTGGAAGAATTGATCAGTACTTCTAAAGATTATCCTGGTACATTTGATGAACATTCAATGTTTATGAATTCGGAAAATAAAAAATCTCTTAAAGAAGAATTTAAAATGCATTTTAGAAACGTTAGTAGGATTATGGATTGTGTGGGTTGTGATAAGTGTAGGTTGTGGGGTAAGTTACAGGTTATGGGATTAGGAACTGGGTTGAAATTGTTATTTGAATATGAAGAAGGTGATCAATTGTAAGTGTCCCATTTTATCAAAAAAAAATATTCCATTACAGAGTTTTGATTTATTGATTATATGATTTTGGTTTTGGATTCAATAGATTTAATAATTTTCATTTAACTAGACCTGAATTAATTTCATTTATCAACACATTACATAGATTATCTGAATCATTAGTAGCGGTTTCTAAGTTTAGAAAGATTTGGGAAAGAAGACAATTAGATGGAACTTTACCCAATGAAACGGTTCATGAAAGGTTTGATTCTAAAGTTTCGGGTGAAACGGCTTCTGCTATTGAAATTAAGGCAGGACTTGGACCTAGGAATCAAATTAAAGAAAGTGAAGAAGAAGAAGTCGAAAAAGAAAAGGAGAAGGAAATGAAAAAAGAAGAAGAAGAAAAAGAGAAGGAAGTGAAAGAAGAAGAAGAAGAAGAAGTGATGGTTCTTGTGGAAGAGAAAGGGTCTGATCGAGTAGATGAGGGTATTAACCGATCCATCAACCCTTCGATGTCTTCACCAAAGCAAAGCGTAAACCCCGAACAACTTACGTCAAGCTTCTCGGCAGAAACGCAAGAAAAAACCGAACCGATGTCGAAAACTCATATACCAGAACCGATGATTCATACAACCTCATCAGGAGAAGAAAGTCGATCGAATAAGACGAGTATCAAGAGTCTTGAAGAGTTTTTAAAACATCCTACTTTAGTGATGATTGAATCTAATAAGTTTTTAAAGATTTTGACGAACAGATGTAAGAAGACGTGTGAAGAATGGATCGTTTTGAGTTTTAATGAGTTTAAAAAATCGGTTAAAAGATCGGTTGGTAGGAATGGCAATCAAAATAAGAAAAGGAAAAGTAAAGGTGCTAAGAGCGTTGGAAGTCACGGTCAGAAGATCGGGTTGGAGAAAGTGGGCGAAAGGAATGAACTTTGAATGGACGATGAGGATGACAATCATAAGGACAGCAATAATAGATACATGTTTTTTTTTCTTGCTTGAACTTTTCTTTTTTTTTACTTCTCTTGCATGTATTTCTTTTTTTTGAATTCGATTTCATTTAGCATTGTAGTTTTTTTTTTGATTTTTTGATTTGTATTCATACTCATCAATTTTGTTTTGGAATTTGCTATTTTTTTATTTTTTTGAGTTGGTTTTGATTAGATCTTGATGAGATGTGGTTTCGTTCTTTTTTGTGGAAACCAATGTCTTCGTTTCTTCAAAAAGAAATTGTCTTTTATCTTTTATTAACAGCAAGGTCTTATCAATATCAGTATCTTATCAACATCAACATCTTATCAACAGAACATTTTATCAACAACATTTTATCAACAAGAACATCTTATCAACAACAACATCTTATCAACAACAACATCTTATCAACCCAACATCTTATCAACAAGAACAACAACATCAATGATTTTTTTTTCTAGAACAGAAAGATTTATAGATTTTTTTGTTTCTTAAATGATTTTCTTATGGACCACAGACTTCTTGATTTTTTGAACAAAAAAAACAAAACTGATAAAACAAATGAAAAAAAAGAAATTAAAGAAAACTTGATGAAATCTTTTGAAGTGAAATTAGTTGAATTCTATTTGTGATGTGTGAGTTCATGAGCAAGCTATACTAGAGCAGAGCAGAGCAAAGGGGTATGTAGAGTTATCTTTTTTGATTATAATCAAACCTATATACAAATTGTATACCCACCAGCAGCTGCATTGACCCATGAGGATGTATAGAAAAAATTGCTAGTCTTGATACTATCTATGTAAATTCAGAGAAATTAAAACATTTCTAAAACCCAATGAAAGGGTTGAATCAGGTTGAATCAGCATCTCACAAATGGTATGTGATGATAGAGGTATATCTAAAACAAAAAAATCAAACACAATTCTCTTTGAGACTGTACAAAAAAGCTGACACTATCTTTAACAAAAGGTCTTTAGTTAAACCTTTCGTCAAATCTTTATGACAACTCACTTGAAGTAGAGATGAAAGGTGAATGCTAAAATGTTCTTGAGCCTGACAGGCAACCAATACCTACGATTATCATTAATCTATCTTCCACGTTGAGGGAAATGCAGGGCGATGTAAGTTTACATACCGTGAAGTCATTTTTAGATAGGATTGTTTTTCATCTGAGGAAGAGAATGCATTCTTCAACTACTCGCCAAATCAAGAAATATGAAATTCGTAATGAATGCATAAAGCTAAATAGATATAAACAAAAAATTGTGATACAATCCTCTACAAAAATAAATATATTGAGAAGGAATTTGGATAGAGAAATCATGTGATTTCGAATATGATGAAACCAAATCAAACTAACAAAACAGATAAATAAGAAATACAAATAAGAAATATCATCACAATCATAAGATTGTAGTAAGATTGTAAAAAACCTAAGCTTCATAAACCAACAAGACCAAACTCATTCAAACATGAAAGTAGGAATATAAAATCAAAAAAACCCCACAAAGATTGACATTGATTTTCTTTAAAAGATTTCAATTCAAACCAATGATTCCTCTTAACCAACGAGTAGCAAGTCTACTAACTTCAACCGATTCATCTAAACTTAAAAAATCCGAAACCAGTTCCATAATATGCCTTTCTACTTCATCCGCCACTCTTTGTAGATCAGGTCCTAAGATTGCTCTGGCTAATGGTGCAACGTTTTGTGAAAGTGAAATTGAGGTTTCTTCATTGCTTGTTGTGGAAGTTGGTTGGGTTGGATCTGGAATCGGGATTGGGGGTGGAATTGGGTCGGTTGAAGGATTGGTTGTGGATTGGGCTTCGGGTGGGGGATTCGTGGGATTTGGTTGAGAGCCGAGTTGAGGTTGAGTCGAAGTTGTCGAGTCACTTTGAGTGGTAGTAGAGACTTGCACAGCAGTCTGTTCTGGTTGTGTAGAAGAAGTTGACGGTTCGATGGATGGTGTAAGTGTAACCCGGTTGGTTGGTTCAGAAGTTGTCTGAGGAATGACCAATTCATCATTCAATTCCGCCGTTGGGATCACACCATGAGTAGTTGGCTCCCCAGTGCTTTCAACAGAACTTGAGCTGGAGATCTGATCACGTTCACCGTTATGAGTTCCTCCTACCAACGCACTTGGACCTGGAGTAGGTAATTGATCTACAACACCGTCACAATTTTCACTAGCTACCTCTGTAATTTCCACCTCCCTAACAGCGACATTCTGGGGGACTTCGTTATTCACAATTAGTTCATGCCCACTCCTAAGTTCCACATCTGAGGTAATCCGAGGGTCGATATGTTCATTTGCCTCCCTGGCGTGCGTATCAGCTAGTCTCGTTTCACCATCACTCGACCGGCCTACACCGGATTGAATCGCATCGCTTTGCTCGGCATCAGTAGCGATAACAGGTTCTTGCGACACCGAATTCTGAACTGAAGCGTCCTGTCCCTCTCTTTGACCCGTCTCCGTTTCCCTAGCGACACGTGACCCTCGATGACCAAAGACGATTGGTCTTTCAAGGCGTTGACCACTAGCGAACCTTTGAAGAAGTAAATCAACCTCTTCAACAGTAGATCCAGTGACCCTAACTAGATAGTCTCTTACTGTAGGTTGATTGGTTAATAATCTAGCTAACATATGCATAGGTTCTAAACCATTTCCGGTTGCTCTTTGTACAAGTGATGTGCCTGGAAAATCGGGTTCTGCACGTGTGCTCAACCATTCTTGATGAGTATGTGGTAGTTCTACGATTTGTCCATCGAAATTGACGTGCTTATAAAACTAGAATAGTGAAACCATAAAAGTGAAACCAAAAAACCAATAGATTAGTCTGAATCCAAAAGAAGATAAGACATCATAAATAACAATTAAACAAGAACCTACACATTCTTTACCAAAAGAACAATTTCCAAACCTATTGAAATTCTTACAAGGTTTCTCGGCCCATTTTTCTCTTGTAGCTTTAACGATCAAATCTTTTTGTTTCGATCCATTTGGATAAAATTTTGGACTTTGGACTAAATAAGTGGATTCGATTCTACAAAGTGGACAACGTCTTAAGATACCCATGGATACTTGGTCTGAACTTTTTCCTCTTTGAGTTCTCCAATTTCTTATACATGGTAAACAAAATACATGAGAACATGAACCTTTTCAAATCATAAATAAAGAGAGTAATCAGTTATATTGAAGAAATGACGAGGTTTATAGCAAAAGGATGCGTGAATGCTCACAAAGTAATCCATAATAAGTCTCAGGATAATCTAAACAAATCCCACAAGTTTCATCTGGATCTTTCTCAGGAAGTTCTGATGGTTTGTTCGATTTGTCCACAGGTTTCGAAGTAGAAGTAGAAGCGATTGGAGTTTCTGGATTCTCATGTTCATCGTCAAGAATAGGCGGTAAATGAGGTGGTTTGCTAGGTAAATCGTGAGGAGTATGTCGTATTGAAGTGTTCGTAAGTTCGGAATGATGAAATCCACAAGATGAACCTCTCCAACAGTATCCTAAAGAAGATGGAAGTGTTCATGAAAGTGTTAAGATTGATGAATGGTTTTGTAAGTTGACCGTAGCACTTACCTGCTTTGTAGTATCGACATGGTCTAGCGGAAACGAATGAGCTCATCGGTGGTCTCGGTTCGTATAGTCAGAGTTGAAATCGAGTGGGTCGAATTGAAAGTGGAAGCTTGAAATGCTGAGGAGGTAAAGTAAAGTAGAAGTCAAAAGCCAAGTGAGAGAGTATTTGATACATCAAACAGCTTTACATAAATTCAACAAACCATCAGCATTTCATACAGAACCATATCAAACAAAGGCACAGAGCACTGCCCCTTGCTTCTGGCTCAACACAATAAAACTTAACAAAATCCACTAAAACTCCTCTCTTGCGCAAGGATACCCTCAAAGGGATTGAACCGCAATACTAAAGAAAGCATACATAACACAAAGGATGATGTTTACTCCATGAGTTTCAATACACAGGTACAAAAATACAATGGGGGACAGTAGTAGTTCTAAATCATCCAGTTCACACCAATCATCCAATGGACTACAAGTATGTCTTGTAGTCTTCATATATTTTTCATTCAACATTAGTTCCCCTTCGTCAAAGAAAAATTACCTCAATTGAGGGACATCTGGTAGAACTAGTGACAACTTTGGTTAAGATGCCTGACATTATCTCTCACAACTTATCATTGCTCTTTGTATAAAAATTCAATTGGATGCCAATCTTAAGGATAAATAGTATGGCATTCTGCAAGATAGTCAGGGACAAGTGTATCACTGCCCCAGATGTGATTTCTTTCAAGTGGAATTAAAGAAAAGTCCAGGCATATATTCCTGTAGAAGAGTCCCCGCAGCACACCATCAATGGTCAAATACACAGAAAAGTCCATCAGTTTTCTTGGTTGCTCCATTGTGCTCCTTCTACTTTTTCAGGTTTTCTAGTGAAACACCTTTTGAATGAATTGATGAAACAGTTTCTTAGGCTCAAAAGTGTGACCTTGGCTGGGCCGGGTTAGAATCTTAGGGTTGTGAACCGGCCCTGAGTGTCACTGAGCAAGCCTGGGCCTTTTCACTGTGTAAACCCAAGGGGATCCAGAAATTTCTTGATCAGGGTCCACCAAGGCACACCCTGAACTACTTATAAGTGCTACAAAAGGACCACAAGGGAAATAATTTTGGCTTGTATTGCACATCAAGGGGTATGGAATTTTAGATAAAATTTATAGGAGTCTACTTGGAAGGTGAAAAGAGCTATAGAAGCCTACTCTGAATGAAAAAGCACTGTCTATCTAGCAAAAAAAATGACAGGCAGCCAGGCAGACCAGGCCACCGGGGTGCCTGCAGGGCTTTTATGACTCTGATTAATTAGGTTTCAGTGTGTCAGGGCATGCAATGTCTGCTCCTGAAAAAAATGTTGGTCACAGTTGTCTGGGGGGTCTGGGGCTAGTTCATATCCCGGAATTTTGGCCAAAAGCATCACACTACACAAAATGTAATCTTTACCGGGCAGTGAAGAAAACTACTGACATGGAAAAATCCTGAGGCCACAGGAAGAGAGCTAAAAATCTGAAAAAATCTGCACCTTGTTCCTAGATGTTGGGGCGTCATGATGAGTATTTTTTTGTATTTTACACACAGATATTAGTTAATGTACTAACAATAAAGGCTGAGAATCATCAAAAACCCACCTGTAACAATACCTGAAATTTGGCCCATGGTTTGAAGACAGGATTTTGAAATCTTCAAACATCAATAACCTTTGCAGTTCTGAATCAAATCACTTGATGTTTGGTTCACCGGAAAGGTGAGTCTTTCCTCTACATTTATCATTGTGACATCACATCTGTAGCCGGTCTGCAAAAGATCCTACAGAGCAATTTGTTCAGACCCGTTTGAACATATGTAGAGAGTTTAAACTACCAGATAACACCCTACTACCTTTATGAAGTGTAAAGGAGAATTGTTAAGCTTTCAAACGGACCAATAACCAAGTTATTTGGAGCAGAATTGCAAAATTTATTGAAGTTTTTAGACCACAAAATATTGTCTTCATAATCATGACCCAAATTTCAGGTATTGTTACAGGTGGGTTGTTGATGATTTTCAGCCTGTATTGTTAGTACATTAACCAATATTTGTGTGTAAAATACAAAACAATACTCATCATGACGCCCCAACATCTAGGAACAAGGTGCATATTTTTTCAGATTTTTAGCTCTCTTTCTGTTGCCTCAGGATTTTTCTATGTCAGTAGTTTTCTTTACCGCCCGGTAAAGATTACATTTTTTGTAGTGTCAGAGGCTTGAGTTGTTATTAAGGGAGTGCAATGGGAATTGTTGGAGAATATCACATACAAGTCTTTAGCTGACAGGTTGGACTTCTTTGTTCATAACACTTGTTTTACAGGCATGACATCATAAATGTTTACCAATTTCTCTGATATTTATCCCATTGTGTTTACTATTGTCAAATTTTTTACTTATTTTTCTTCTTGTGGTTTCTATCTCATAGCTAACTTATAAATCAAATTTTGTGTCCCACTCACCTTTTTTTGCCTAGTTTTTTTCTTTGATTCTGTGGCAATCTAACAATTATCAAGGAACTCTTTTTTTTAGGTGATTGATAAACAACACCAAGTTGAAAAGACAGATGATGCTGGTTTTTGTTAGCTTGGATTAAGCTGGAAGTTATACACTTTGTAAAGGAATAATCTGGAAGTTTTACAGCTTGGAAAACCCTGAGATACCTGTAAAGTATCTCAATGGTCTCAGAAACATTCTGACACCAGTTTTTGGGCTCAGCTACAAGTTGGCATTGTCATTTTCAGTGGGTCTAAATGACTCTGATGCCCAATTCCCAAAATTGACTAAGTCCCAGTCTGGACCTAACCACCAACTCCAGAGAGGGACTTACACCCAAAGTCCAGATTTTGGTGTGAGTTCTTTTGGGGATTTTTTGGAAAATCTTCAAATCACCCTGCTCACAAATCTCGCATTTCAAAGTCATTTCAGTGTATGATGAAGATGGTGTGCAGAGTCCAGACCTCCCATCTGTTTTTGGCCAATCCCAGCACCACACTACCTTGTTTTTGAAGAAAAATAAACCAATATAATCATTTGGGGCCAAGCACAACTGTGGTGACCTAGACAGAAAACACATTGCCAAAACTCCAAATCTGGGTATAAAACGGTAGAAAGGTTTCCACCAAACTATAGTTTGATTGCTCATGGCAGCTGAAACCCAAAATCCAGATACCCTGTTGCACCACACCATATTAATCATCACACTATGCTCCTCAGGAGCCAATTGGCAACCAGTGAGGTATTCATCACACATCCATCACCACCCACAAATTTACCTTGGATTTGTCAATCCGAGGTATGGTTGGATGCCAAACCTTGGACAGAAGCCTCCCAAGGTTTTGATCAAAGGTCATTTTCAGTGCAAGAGAATACCTTGGATAGAAACCTTGGAAAAGCTCTGTCCAAGGATTTGGGTCTGGTGATGCCTTGGATTTCTCAACCCGAGGCATCTATGTTGGCAGTGCGCTCAGACAATCTCTTGCCAACAACAAACCCAAGTTTCTTGACACCATTGATGGCAGCACAAACACATCTGTAGGCCAATTGTTCCAGAATTATTACGGATATTCAGCACGAACTCAGCAGCAGCAAACAGTGATCCACTTTCTCAATGGACAGTTGTGGTTTTTGATAGCGGGCACAGGCTTTGACAAAAGCTGTGTGCCCGACTTCTTTTATTTTACCCACAACCCCGCCTTCCACCCAATCATACTAAGTATTAACCCTTTAGAGGGACTTGGCAATGATCAGACAGGATTTTTGACTTGTAACACCAACGTTCCGGATTGCACGGCTGACATCACATGCTTCAATTTGAGGCAGTTCACAGAGAACAAACAAGTTGGCCTGAAGGCAGTAGATCTGACTGGTCCTAATCGCACCACAGAGACATGCAACACCATTATGAAGGGCATGTACATGTGGCCAAACCTAGGAATTGTAATCATTGGGTTTGGGACAATCTCTGGCCCCACTGCTGCAAAACTTGAATGATTACTTAAATCACTTGGAGGGGACTGTACATGTTCATTTATGTGGTAAGCATTGATTGACTTTGGTTAGATATCATTATAAGCAGAATAGGAATTCATGGCCACCAAAATATGCCATTCTTTTTGACTGTGCTCTGCAGAGTCCGGGGGTAGTTTTGACCAGTGCTGTGTTTGACCACATGTGGCAGGATCAGAACTTTCAGGACCAGTTGATTCTCAATGTTTTTGACAAAGCTCATATGGTTTGTAAGTGGGGGTTGGTCGAGAGTGGCAAATCCAACAGGCTTGCCAGTCATGTAAGAATCACAGATGGAGGTGTCTTCTGGCCATCATATGGGGACCTAGCTTGATGATTCCTATCTACCATGGGAAAGTGCCACTGCTTCTAATTTCAGCAACTTGCACCCCTCAGGCAATTCACCAAATTTCTGTCAACCTCAAACTCAATCCACACGACATTAGATCCTCCAGAGTGGAACTCACTATACCGGAAATATGTTTGATCCAAAGGTTGTTCAAGAGACCTTTGAAAGCTTCATTGTGTGGAATATGTGCTCATTGTATGGTGGTCCCAAATTCAGCTATCCCTCTTACTCTTGTGTATTCCAGTACTCAAAATGCCACATTGGAATAATTACAACTGCTTAATTCATCTTGTGGCCACCCAAAGGAAGCAGGAAATGCTCAATCACAGTTTGCACATTGTTACCACACGTCCACTGGCCCCAAAGCCAAGCTTGACACCGTTAAGACTTTTGTTGCAGGGTCTCTAGCAATCCTAGTTTGCACTTTGGCACTTGGACTGGGCCAGAACTGGCACCGTGTCCATCATGTGATCATCATAGGTTGACAGTGAAAAGCGACAAATCCCACATAGTTGAGATACTTGAATCCCTGTGACACAATCTATAGGTGAGTCTCAGACACCTCTGTCACAATACCTGATGTACTAACCTACATATCAGAATAGAAATAAACAAGAAGATAAAAAGAAAATAGCAGTTAAGTAGAAGGAATGAGAAAATATTATTATATGACTAAAAGTATTTTGACCTATGAGATTTGATCAGGTCACAAAATGAAAGTGAGAACAAAATTGACACAGTCTAGATTCAGCAATGGATCCAGTGTCAATGTGTATTCAGATGAAAACATGAAGGTAACAAATCTAAGAACATAAATGATCATTTATAAAAACAAGGAAACTACAAGATGAGAATAGAGGCAAATTTACTTATATACTTCCCACAACCTTGTTCATACCAACTGCTGATGGACCAATCCAACATTCCACAATGTCAAATATATTAGGAGCTATCCAAGCTGAAGGTCTGAATGTCAAGTCCTTTCTTTTCTGGCTAAGGTCTCAACAACCGCAGCCATCAAACCATGAGCCACCTTTGCTAATTGATAGGGTTTATCATATATTTCATTTTTGGGGATTCAAGAGGTCACAGTCTTGCAGTTCCTTCATTGCTTTTTCGAAACCGCCAATCATAAGCTCCAAGCATATCAGAGACAATGGAGGGGAGAGGACGGAGATGGCCAAACCAGCATTCACATGGTTCTCAACAGGATGAAACAGCTATTACCACTTCAAACATCAAACAACTTCCCTTCAATTGAACATGGGAAAATGATTAGAATTAGAATTGGTGATAAAGCATCGATTGCTGCACACCTGTGCCACAGCACCCACACTACATACATGCAGTAGCATGGGTGAATTGGGAGCTATCATGTACATACAGAGATGCTCAGATATGGGTTCATTTGGATGAGTAAACCATATGTAATACCTTCTGTAATTTTTCCAGTTTAACAAAAGCATTCCAAAAATTGACTACATATACTGACTCATAGATTTGGTGTAATTGCATTGACTAAACTCCATGTAACAACCTTTCTGTTACTATCAAAGAGGGTCACACAGATTGTTTAGATCAGTGTTTGAGGTATGAATTTTGAGTGATGTACAGCTGTGGTTCTCTAGAGTATGGTTTGTAGATTAATTGTGGAGGTGTATAATGGGTTAGTTGATCATCAAGGTGTATGATATGCAGAGAGTGTGATTGACAAGTTGGAGTTTATGGGGAAGTAAGGTACAGAAGGGTTTAGGGTGTGAGCCAAAAAAGTCCATATTTGGCTGATTTCAACTTACACATAGAGAATTGCCTAAGCTAAGTATGTGTCTGGGGGTAACAGCTGTGGATAAAATTACCCCAAATCTACGTACATCATGGTTTACAGCATGTGGCTGTGGATGCTCTTATCCTGGGTATTCTTGTGAGTGAGCCACCAGTCCAGAAAAAAACTTATACTCCAATTGACAGTACCTGTGGCCCTCTTGACTTTTGAGTGGTATTCGTACATCCATGGATCCTCCCATCCAAGCAAATCTTGCCCAGTGCTGTATGCATTGAAAAGCTGAGACATATGAACACAAGAATTAAAGGGAAGTTGTGTTACATTTGTCATTCTGTTGATAAGAGGACTTGATTACATCCTAGTTTTTAAGTCTAGAATAGAAGGGGCCTGAAGCAGTCTATTGAGTTGAACATGTCCAAGATCTCAGAGCCAGACAGCATGACTAGCACCTATACCAGGCTCATCGATCAAAGTCTTCGAAATTAATTTAATAGGAGCTTCAAAGAACGGATTCCATTCAAGAACCATCACCCAACCTACTTCATCATCCGTAAGGACAATCAAGATCCTCGAGTCATTTTCATCACCATGAATCCTAAACTCGATCGCATTTGCTTTCCCACCACTAGTCGGTGTAGGCCACAAGCTAAGGAGTTTCAAATAATTTGAATCTTGTTCTAGAACGGCAAGAACCCCTGGATGTTGAGGATCTTTACCTCGAGTGGTAGCGAAGATGTAGTTTTTGCTCATCCATGTCTCTTTGTCTGTCGTGCTTGCAAATAAAGTTTGTTTGAGTAGGGTTGGTAGAATCCGAATCGTATCTCCACGATAATCATCTGGATCAAATGATATATCAAGTGATTGGTCTGAAGGAATGATCGAAGTTGAAGTTTGATAGACCAATGAATCAGGTTCAATCTTATATAAATCTATGAATTGTGCTTAGAGTGATGCAACAATATCAACTTTTGCACTTTGGAGCGTGAATACATGGATATTCCCCCTACATGGTAAAGTGAGGAACTTACTATGTTCTGTGACTACATACAGCCATCTACCATCTTCACTGATCACACAATGTCTTGGACCATCATGAGGTCTTGGACTCTTAGTCTCGGTTATCAGTCTAAGAGTTTTCGTATCTGGGTCTACTTCATACATAAAGATTGAGTTATGACCTCTGTTCAAAAAAGCTGGTCATTATTCTTTCCGTTTTATATGAAATGCTGTGCCAAGGCGAGGTGCATAATGTATTACCATATCACTTACAAATGTGCCACAAAGGCTTGATTTGTTATTCTATTAATCTCAATAGCATGGCTTCCATACCTCTGTCCAAAATCCACATATGAATCAGGAATTAGCGAAAAGAAAGGATCCAGAAAGAGATTTGATCTCACGAGAGCTTTACGAGTTCTATCTTCATTGATTAAATCCGATGGTGGAACAAATAATATTTCTTGAATCTTTTCTTCAATCAAACCACTGTCTTTGTCCAAACGATGTAGTTCACCAGTAGGTCCTCCTACGGAATAAAGAGTTTGATCATTCATGGTGATATAAGATGAAGTAGAAGCTGCGATTCAAAAACAAGATCGATATAACTGAGCTTTTGAGTAAATCTTTATCAAATGATACTCCAAAACTTGCTTCTGTAGAGCAAGAAGATTCTAGAAAGATGAAAAAAGAAGTAAGGAAAAAGAGAAGATCTTACTGATAGGCACCGTGTTAACTAATTCAAGTTTCAGTGACTTCAAATCGATAGACCAAGAAGATAGTTGAGCGGGAAGCGCCCAAGTCGTTGCATAAACCCGTTGACGAGTACGATCATAATAAAGGTATTGATGAGGTCCATACGCAGGAACAGTAAGACAAACGGACAATTTGGAACTGGATCGATCGAAGGCTAGTAAATATAAGGAAGTCGAATTGAAAGAACCTGTGTGGGTATTTAGGTAGACGTAGTTTCGAATCTTTAGATATTTTATCTTGCTCCTCAGCGGAGATTTATGTCTTGTCAAGCAAGAACTTGGCATCTTGAACAAATGTATTGAATTTCATAGATTTGATGCAATAGACTTACCTGAGAACAAGTAATCGATCCCTTCATTCTTTGAACCAAAAGCTTGGTCTGCCATGTGCGAAACAAACATGGTTTTATTTGGTTCGCAAGGATTAGGAATGCAATCGATATATTGATCAGAATTACATTTTTCATCTGTCCCGATATACTGTACTTCAAATTGACTACTTTCACTATTCCTATTTGTTTAGAAGTTTCTTTTCATTACCCTTTGGGCATTCAGAAGCAACTGGAATTGAGTACATGTGTATGATGAAAATCAATACGAAAACTTGATCAACAGACCATCAAGGATCCGATAGCTAGGACAATCAAAGGGATCAGATATCGATGTGAAGTAGAAGTTTCTGCGAATGTTGATGATGGCGACGAGGATGAGGATGTTGAAGTGGACATTGAGGAACGATGTAAGCTGTATGTGGTATTTATGTACAGTCGTTTTTTAAAGGGTTACGAGATTTTTACACACAACGTTTTTGACTCCTTATTGAGTGTATTACTTTTGCTAAAAAGGAAGCCCGGGTTGAAATAAAATAAAATAAAACGTAGCCCAGAATTTCGCCGCAGTCACTGCAGTGAGTGTATGTACAGCAGCAGACACAGTCAGAGATTTTGCAGGTGCAGCCCCGCCTGCAATCTCAACCAATTTGATTCAGCTCCTTCAAGAGAGCCTACCACCAACCAATCAATTTTCATACTTGTCTTCTTGATGGGGTTCTGTAAATATTCAGCTGATATCAAAGTGCTCGTGGTTCGCTGGAGTCTTCGAGGACTTCCAAGATCTTTAATCCGACAGCGACTCAACAAGCAAATTTCTCGCAGATCCTTTGGCCGATGGATTGAACTCTACCACCTAACCCGTGCAGTCATACGCGATCCCGACACCTACGAACGCCGTGGTCGGCGCCAGCACTTGAATGCCACGGATCGTAGATTCATGGAAGAATTGGTTCTCGACCAGCCATCCCTTTTCCTCGACGAGATTCAAGAAAAGCTTTACAATGCGCATGGGAAGATGCCTTCCATAAGTACTGTTCACCTCGAACTTCAGAGCCGCCTTATGATAAGCTTGAAGAAGGCCTGTGTCAGTAACACTCGGAAATCCTTGATGCCAAAGTTGAAATGGATGCGCGATATGATGGGCTATCCGTCCAATTTCTTGGTGTTTACAGGTCAGTCCAATATCACTTTTCATCTCATATTTTCTTGCAATCTTGTATTGAAATCCTCTGTTGTCTCACTGGTTGCAGACAAGAGCGCAGTCTGTGGGAGGGATCTGCTACGAAAACGTCAGCGAAGCAAGATTGGAGTCCGCACTACTCGCAAGGTTCCTAAGATGCATCAAGGTCGATATTCACTCCTTCCAGCCATCACTTATGATGGCTTGCTGGCTCTTTCAGTTCTTGAGGGGCCGGTGAACCGGAAGCAATTCGAGAAATTTTTGAAGTATAGCTTAGTTTGTCATTGTACCTCTACTTCAATACCCATTACTCCACACTGAGATCATTTCAATGTACAGCTTCCTCGCATGAATCGATTTCCAGCAGACAATAGTGTCTTAGTACTGGACAATGCCTCAATTCATTGTGGTGGATCAATTGCTGAGCTCTGTCGTAAGAAAGGTGTGTCTGATCTCATCATCTTTCCTCTGTCGTGTTTCCAAATCGCTAATTCGAGCGGGACAATTTCAACTTTAGGTATTCTTCTTTGTTACTTACCACCATACTGTCCTGAGTTGAATCCGATTGAACTTGGATTCAACGCCTTCAAATTTGACCTTCGACGATCACAAGTACTGGCTACCAGGACTAATCCGATTGGACCAATACGAAGGGCTGCTCATAAGACATTTGGCCCCAAATTATTACCTAAGTTGTACCACCATTGTGGTTATCGCACATTCGATGAAGTCCTCAATCGTAGAATGGGTCACATATGACTGATTTCGGCCAATGAGGTATTTGCATTATCCTATCTGTAGTTTTCGAGTTTCTTGGCTCATCTATTCAATTTCTTTCAAATCATCAAAATCAATCTTATCAATCTTTTCTTCGAGCGATTTGTTCTCAAGCGTCTTCGGTGCAACTAAACTTCAAATCGATCAGCATCAGACCAACAAGTTGAAGATTACATCTCTTCTACATCTCCCAATCAAATCGAGTCCACCCAAAGTCTTCAATTCCTCAACTTATCAAATCAAATCGGATATTCAGTTTCAAATCATCATTCAATACAAGAAACTATAGAACCAAATCAGATTGATTCAATGGATGAATAATCAATCCTTCATTATCAAATCATCATTCAAAACAAGAAACTACATATCAAACCAAATCAGATTGATTCATTTGATAGATCTAGATCAAATCAGTTTTTCATTATCAATCATCATTTAATTCAAGAAACTATTGAACGGAATTAGATAGATCCAATGGGTAGATTTAGTTTTATTTATAATTCTTGTAATAGAAGGATGATGGTCTTCTGGAGGAGACGATCGATTGAAATCTAAGATGAACTGTTCTCTGTTTCGGCTGAGCCCGAATATACATAAGAGACAAGATTAGGTGGATCTTGAGATGATCAAATGGGCCACGAGCACCATGTCACTCTTAAATCGATCGATCCTAGGAGATTCAAATGGTCTAAAAACACACTTCCTTGTTTTGTTGAGTGTGATGTAAGAAAGATAAGATTGAGCTAAAAAGTTCCCTCGATCCTGGGACAAACAAAAGACACATTGTGTCAAACCCAGAGCGAATCTCCATGTCTCCAATTCATCGAGATCCGGCTTAATCTGACGCTCGATCATCTGAGGCTACTGGGCTTTGGGAGGGGATCAGATTGACCAGGATCGAGCTAAAGTGTTAGCTCGATCTTACTCTAGACAAAAGACACTCCATTTCTACGCCAGGGGGGCGATCTGTGTCTTCAAAAATCTCGAGCTTAGTTTGAAGCTCGATCATGCAAACTGACCTTACTTTGTATGGAAGGGGCACAGTACCATAATTCTTAATAAACATCATGATTGTATTTCTTTTCAAAGTTTAAATTTGATATACCCACTGATAACAATGATGGGGGGTTAAAATCCGCATAAGGCAGCATAGAGCGATCAGTTAACAAATGTTTTTGCCTGGATTTCCGAGCGGAATAGAGCGAGCAGTTAAAAATTGAAGTTCGCCTTGATTTCGGAGCAGCCCTTCTTTCACGCTTCATATTACTTATATGCTTATGAGCATCTCCATACAGCATAGTTATTGAAGCCTTAGACAATCCCTGTTGAGCTAGATCTTCTCGACATAAGTGTGTCTCTGTGATCATTCTATGGTCGGTAATTTCTGCATCTTTTAAGATCTTGCGAAGGTGCTGCTTTCTGTCATCTGGTAATGTGCAGAACTTGAGGAATCCTTCTGTTCCATTTTCAGCAAAGGGATCATATGCAAAAGGAGGTGATGACGACACATGAGTAGAATCTTCAGGTGTATTCTTTCGTTTACGAGGAGTGCATGGGGTAATTGGTGGTTCGACATCGCCAGCTGGTTGCTTTTGAGGTGATCGTACCGCTTCCCCGATGGCCCCTGCGAGTCCGACCACGAGTTGAGTTATAGCGGCAGGGGTGAAGCTGTTAACATCAGGAGTTTCACTCGATGAAGTGAGAGTTTTGTTTTTGGCTTTCTTGCTGAGGTTGTATTTGAAATGGGCGGGAGGAGTATCTATGTCAACCTCATCTTTGTGCTGGCCAATGAAACACCTAAACGTCAGCTTACATAGATAATAAACAATGGTGTTGGGCTCACTCGTAGCTTAGCCCAGTCTTCTGCTTTTTCAAGCGTCAAAACAAAGTAATGAGTCGAATCGGTTGGATCTGTCACAATCGGACACCTTTTGTGGTAGCGGCCATCCATCTTGTGGTGGTCAAGAAGGTCACTGCAAACTGGTTCTCCCGATGACCAGCGGTTTGTTGTGTGTCGTCTGATCCACGTTCGGACTTGGATTGGAGATCATATAAAAAGACATCAGTCCAGTTTGATGACAAGGGTTAGCAGACAGACAATCTCACCTCTTCGGTGTCAGACAAATCCCTATCAAGTCCTTTGTTCACGCTGAAGCTGTGTCATGCGCTCAGCTGAAGCAG